GGGCAAGAATTTTTCAAGCACAGTAAGCAGTTCATGCAGAGCCCTAGCAGGGCTCAGGGTTGGTATGTTTGAGGGGCAGAAGGCAGACCAGTGTTGGTAGGCTGGGGTGAATGTCATGCGGGAGACTAGAAGAAAGTGAGGTCAGAGGGGTCGAGTCGTGTGCATTGTAGACCACGTGAAGGGGTTTGGATATATTTTTTTAGAAGGCTAGGGAATCATTGGAAAGTTTAAAATGGGAGAATGACATTTTACAAAGATCCCTCTGACTGCCGCTGGGTTGAGAATGGCCTGCGGAGAGGCAAGCCTTAAAATAGGGACAGCAGTGGGGGACAATGACAAGTAAAACACGTGGCCGATGGGGGTGATGTGATGGGAGGTTCTGTCACAATGTGATGCTTAGATGCAGCTCTGAATCTTGTCACTAACATGAGGTATCATCACACCAGGCAGGATGTGGTACCAGATATCTCTGACCACTCCTCCCGACCCAGGCTGGTGAGGGGTTCACCCGTTCAGCTCTCTTGCCTTTTTTCTCTCCCAAGAGGTTTCACTGTAAACTTGTAATGTCATCAGTGTGGGTGGTGGGAAGGGTGAGGCTAAAACTTTCTTTACTTTTAGAACTTTACTTTTAGAACTTTCTTCTATGGCTCCCAGGAATATTAAGGTAAGCTAAAATTTTGTGGAATCTAAGGAGGGGAGAACAACAGTATCTGATCGAGAATTCTGTGCTGACGATGGACTATTTATTAAGTATCAGCTTTTTGACAGTGACAGTAACTACATGTGAATGATGTTTGTTTTAAGAATCTTGAAAAAAACTTGGAGACTTCTTCTAACGGTTAAAAACAGAAAGGCCCCTTGTGCTCCCATTCCATAAATTCTATTATGAATGAGGCTGTTTCACATTTAATAAACAGTCACTGGTTTGGAAGGATTTCTTTTCTGGATCTAGTGGACTGAAGGCCAGAGTTGTTGTTGCTGTTGGTTTTTTTTCCTGTTCTAATTTACACCACTATTTATAGACCTACCATTTTCCATACTTAGAATACTTTCCAGAATGCAGGAAAGAGGCCAAATGAAGTTGCTACAGGTCTTCTACCTCCTGGTTATTCGCAAGAAGCAAACCACCCTGACGAGAAGGCTTGTCCCTGAAGCAATGGTCTTTGATCCGGGCCGTGTCAGCTGTCTCCTCTGTTTGTCCATACAAGATCCCTTCTTGGGCAGCCAAGGGTTGCCAGATCAAATTACAGGACAGCCAGTTAGATTTCAATTTAAGATGTTAGAAAAATGAATCATTTTTTTAGGATCAGTATGTCCCAAGCTTTATCTGGACAGATAGTCGTCGTTTATTTGAAATTCAAATTGAACGGGGCATCCTGTGTTTTTATTTGCTAAGGTGGCATCCCTAGCCCTGGTCAGGGATGGGTGTGAAGCCTCCGCCGCAGGAGGGGCCACTAACACTGCACATCAGCTGCCCCCTCGGGCCTGTCCATCTCCGGTCACCCACGTCCCTTAACACAGCTGGACTGCAAGTGGGTATTGTCACTGGAGTGAACAGCTCTCTCTCTTTAGCTACCTTCCTGTGTCTCAATTAGACTTCACATGGCTGTATTTAGGACATTCTCTCCTTCCCTTGTAGTAGGAGCCCTATAGTAGAAGTTATTTTCCATCCATCCATCCATCCAATAGGTATTTATAGAACACCTTTTAAGTACCAGACACCAGGCAGCAAATCCATAATCTCCCTGGGAACATGTCATGTGGACAACTCATGTTCTGTCTTGGAGCCAGCTTCTTGGAAGTCCTCCAGAGCATAGGAAGCAGTTGTTACAATGAACAAAACATCTCTGAGCCCAGCATCTCTGGGCTTGTCCAGCGGAGCCTATATATCTCAGATGCCACTGGTCACCCTGGAATTAGTCCTGACCTGTGACATGTGGTACAGGGAAGCTGAAAGCCAGACAGGATGGTCCTGTTGTATCAGTTAGGGAAGGATACTTGTAACAAACAGACCTCCGCATGTATAATCACACTAGAAGTTTAGTACTTCTGGGCAGGTGTAAAGACTGTGGGGCAACCCACTCAGCACACTCATTTGGGGACTTGGACTGGCAGAGGCTCTGCCATCTTCATCAGGTCACTGTTCACTTCCAAGGTTGCCCAGGGGTCATCAGTCCAGCCAGCCATGAGAGGACCAGAGCATGGAGGCGTGCGTGGGAGAGTTGACCAAGCCTGGAAGCGGCCCACATCACTTCCTTTCAGATCCCTTGGATAGCCACATGGTCACTCTTAGTTGCAAGGGAGGCCAGGCAGCATGTGCCCGGAAAGAAGAAATGAACGTGGGTCTGGTTAATGTCTCTGAGCCTCAGTTCCCTCTTTTTCGAAATACTCCACCGATTGCCTTCCAGGGCCAGTTGGTAAAATCTCTGCTGGGACCCACCACTGGCAGGTGGCAACATTCCCTAGCTCCCCTGTCCCAGCATCAGACTTCGCACCCCCACCCTGGGGAGAAAGGAGACCTGATCCCTCTTCCATTCTCCCATCCGCCTGCTTCTTGGTTCTTGCCCTTCTCAAACCAGCTGCCTAGAGCAAAGCCACTTTACCTCACCCGTTGTGTTCCAGCAGTTCACTTACTGCTGGTCGCTTTGCAACTTTGAGTGCATTTCTCCATAAAAACAGCTGTACGTGGATCAAGGCAACTCTAAGGGGAAGGGGATGCTGGAGGGAGGCTCTGGCACCTGGGCAGTTCCCCCAGTAGCATCTGAGAAGGCTCTGCAGCAGGGAGTGCGGGTGGAGTTCCATGGGCCCCAGAGGCTTTGTGAGGGGCTGGTTCCCATGGCAACCAAGGGGTGGCCTCCAAGGCAGCAGCGACTGAGTAGACTTGGTTAGAAGCTGACAGTAAGCCCAGTGCTTATAAACCTGGACTTGCCCATGGCTGCAACCTGGAGCAGAGCGCCTTTCAAGCTGGGAGACTTCGTTAGCAGCATGCCCTATGCAGTGCAGTGTCCATGTCATTGATCATCTGCTTGCCAAACACCGGGGTCGGTACTGGGAACCCCAGGAATAAGACACAGTCAGTGGCCCTTGCAGTGAACATAGATGGACAACAGAAAGGAACGGTGACCCGGACAGGGAGGAGGTAGTCAGGAAGGCTCTGGGAGGAGAGACTTAGTCTGAGCCATGGCCACAGCATGTGCAGAAACGTGGAGTGAAACTGCAAAATGCTTTGATGAGAGTGAGTGTGTGTGTGTGTGTGTGTGTGTGTGTTGGAGGGGGGGAGCTATTAGCAGGCACAGGATCAGGAGCCCCCCAAGGACCTTGGGTCATGACCTGGGAGCATGTGGACCTGGAAGCTTCTCAGAGATGAGCATTTGAGGTGGGTGAGTCCACTGGATCCATGAATATTTTCAAACATTTTTATCTAGTTTTAGCTTCCTTGAATTCATATACACGGAAAAAAGACTTGAGGATGTTTCTCCAATGTCTGGCGTATCTCACCCACTGACAAGTCCCATCTCTACTCTCCAGATGATCCTGATTGTGTCCTGGGCTGGAGACTAAAGCTGTAACCCTCTGCCCCGGTGGAAGACTTGTCATCACAGTGTCTGCCCTGCAGGGGGCGTCTTTGCATATAGTGGGCGTTCTTTCCCTTGGCTCCGCTCTCCCTGGCATCTACCTTCTACACCTGAGGCCCACTTTAAGGTCCAGCTGTCCACACTCCCTAGATGGACAACTGTCCTGATTTTAGCACTGAAAGTCCCATGTCCCATGAAACTTCTCAGTCTCAGGGTTAACCTCCAGGACAGAGAGGGAAAGTCTGAGCCCAGACCAGGTTTATAGGATTTTGACTGCAGGGAGGCCATGGAAAGAAGGTTGGCTTTGGAGCCAGGCCTGCCCAGCTGAAGCTTGCTTTCTCTGCTCCGTCTTTCTCTGTGTGATCTTGAAGAAGTTACTTTATCTTTTTGAACATTAGTTTCCTCATCTGTTAATAGTATAAAGAATACTTATCTTAAAGGAATGGAAATAATGTATGTTAAACACGGTCAGGTAGGAAGTGCTCAGTAAATGTTATTTTCTAGAGTGAAGGCATATCAGACAGTCACCACAGAATGTGAAAAAGTGTAGTGAGCTTTTATATTGAAGGTTGAGGACACAAAGGGGGAGCATATAACTACCTCTGGGGGTCAGGGAGGTCCCACAATTACTACAAATTGCTGACGAGACTGGAGGTGGGGGCTCTCCTGCCTCTCACACATCCACTGTAGACTGTGATTAAAAATTAGAGAAAAAGGAGGGCGCCTGGGTGGCTCAGTTGGTTAAGCGACTGCCTTCGGCTCAGGTCATGATCC